ATAACGAAAAGATGAGATTTATTCGTTACTCGAAATTTTCAAATAAAAATTCATTTTTGTGACTTTCTATGCAGAGCGATAGAATGAAATCGGTTCGTTAAACAGATGCATTTTTTTGCACGAGTGACAAATATAAAATTTTATTTCTTATTCGTTATTTTAATAACATTTTACTTGAACGACGCCAAATGTTGTTATGCAATTAGTTAGATTCGTTCGAATAATATTTCGATAATGAAATAAATTCTATTCCAATCAAGGTTTCGATGAACCGAAACTCGGTCAAAGCACGTCGAGATCGTCGCATGGCCAATTAATGAAAGCTTGGGACGAATATTAACGGTACCGTGGATGGATAAAATAATAATGCATGGATTAAATTGATACGTTACTACGTTGACGCAGCTGGGAGTGTTTAAAATTCTTGAAAAATTGGAATTGTATCTTGCTGCAAATTTGTTATGCATTACGTTGGATATTCGATAACCACGATACATAAGAAATTCAGGGAACTTCGTCGAGCGTGTTCGATCATCGTAATTCTTGAAAAGTGTTTGCCTTTGATAAAATGCAAATTTTGACGTAAGGAATACGTTTGATATTTTTTGAAATTTGTCAAAATTGATACCACAATTAAATTTAATGAATATTACATAGATATCTGACGCATTATAATTGAAGGATCTTAATTAAATTTAAAATATATGAAATTTATGTAAATTTTCGCTGCAACCTTTTCTCCATTGTGAATCTGCGCCAAAATAGCGAATACCTTTCCGGTCTTATCGTTAGTATATTTCGCGAATGCGTGACAGTAATTATAACAGCGGAATGTTCTCCGTTCGCACAGAAGAATCCACGAAATTGTTGAAACGTCGGTATTTCTTGATTCCGACCTCGTTATTTTACGATTGCGATTCAAAGCGAACGATAAAAGCCATACGACGGGTCGACCGTGTAAAATATGGAACATCGCGGCAAATGTTTACACGAATTTATCCAGGACGAGTCCCGTTCTTTTATTTAACTGCGTGCCAGCACTATCGTGACTGTTAAATGCAAAATCCCGGCACATGGCTGGCAAACGTTTATCGTGCATTCCTTGCACGTTCCATGCTGCCTAGACCGCCTGAATTTCCATTGATTTTTACATTAAGTCGGATATACGTTCTCCGTCGTTTTGATTTATCCTCGTTGTCGACGATGTTCAAACTACCGCGGCACGTGACATTAATAATTAATACGTCGCTTTGTTAAGAAGACGTATACGAGAGTGGCGTGATCCGGAGAACGGGAAGTATTTAGCTAACGACCGATTAAATGGAGAGGAAATATGAAAGTAATTCGTTGGAGTACTTGCACGTTTCGTTGATTGTGAATTATGAGCGTATGAAACAGAAGGGAGCATTGTGTAATGTGCTAAAACAAGAAATAACAAATCGTTAGTAGCTTCTATTGCAAATTAAAAAATTTAATGAAAAAATTGCACGTGCAATTTTGTACGGCAGTATGATTGTTTCCACTGACATTAAATGTGCGAAGAAGAGAAACACGTATCCGTAACAAGTGTTTCAATTATTTTCCCCAACTTCTGTATGCGACGCGGACAGACTAATATGTTCTTCGTATGGGCTTGGAAAAGCTCCAGAACGTCTGGACCATTTCCAGTGGCCTTAATTCATTTGTCAATTACATCCAGTATTTCCTGAAGGCGAATGAACTGTCCTAATGATTGCGTATTTCGTTGCTCGGTTAACTGTAACGATTTGCTCTCTGATGAACGTGAGCGAGTTCACAATTCAATTCATCGAATCAAAAACAACAATAATTTCGATACATAGTAGGGAATGGAAATAAAATTCCTTCGGTTTTATTTTTGTAAATAATCGAGGAATTTTTCCATAAATTTTTCATAAATTTTCCATAAATTTTCCACAGCAATCAACATGTTAAATCAAAGAAGTTTAAAATCATATATCACTGTTCTACGGTATCAAAAATTCATCGAAGGTATAAAAAGAAGAAGCTAGAAGTGTTTTAGTATTTAGAGCAACAGTCGTCCCCTAGTGTATCGAGTTCTATCGATCAGAATAGAGGGAGGGAATGGTAGACGGGATCGGGAAACAGAAGAAATGAAATCGAAGGGTTCGAATGGGTCAAACGGTTCACGCACAGTCCACAAAAAAACTATCCTTTGCATTTCTCCTAGTCGCGATTCGATTTAACCTTGGACAAACGTTCGATTCTGGCACATGGACTTGTCCAAGAAGATTGGATCTCATTGAATGGAGGACCTTGGAATTGAAGGGACTCCCCTACCATCTTCCGGCCACGATGAAGAAGTGACTGGAGGGTATATAAAATGGTGTACCGAATCACTTATCTGGTATTGGATTGCCAGCCAGCTTTTTCTAGTCAATTCGATGAAGCAAACATGATCGACGGACCGATAAATTATTGATCGAACGTGTCCCTTTATCGTTTGTATACCGAATGGATTTCAGTTTGTTTGTACGTCAGCTTGCAACCGGTTCGAATGCTCTTTTTCCGGTTTCCCCGTGGAACGTTGTAAATTCAAAGTTTATTAGCTGTACGCATCCACGCAGGACATTGACGAACGATAGTTTCTACAGTTTCGTGAATTCTGCTCGTATGGTAGTTTCGAACGATCGATAGTCAATATCGAAAAGCTCGATCGTGATGGATACCGTTGATCGACGGGATTTTTTCCCTCGACCCTTTCGTTGTCGCTTTGTTTCAAATCGACGCGCCAGAAATACCGAGCGAATTGATTTTCAAGTATTGGATATCGCAGCCGAAAGGATTAAATTGGTAATATCGTCTTTGAGTTCGTACAGCTTCAAAAAGGGGACAATGATGGACGACGTCTCTTGTTTCACACATTGTGCGAACCTTTCGAATGGTCTATAGTGAGAAGTACTATGTATACAAAAAAGTTCGATCGAGATTTGTATCATTGATGGATGAGAATTTTTTTGTATCGATGCTTGTTCATTTCTGTTTTTCTGCTTGAATATTTGATCTGTTCGCGGAATGCTGCAAGAAATTCGGTTTGAATTTATTTCTGTGGGAATGTAAAAAATTCAGGATCACGGATAGCATCGTCGCGTCGCGTCGGTGAGAGACGACCTCGAAGGATATAAGTAAGAAGTTCAACGTCGACAACGAACCGATCGCCGACGAACATTTTCTGGATGAACTACCCGGACTCGGTTTCGAATCTCAGAAGCAAAAGAATTTTTGTGGCGAACGGTAGGTGCAATTTAATCATGGATGAACGAACGAGCTGAGATTACGAAAGGAACCGGAGAGATTGCATGTTATTGAAGAAGCTCCGTGGCTCGGATGCGACAACAGAAAAAGACTCGATGCTATAAAACAACGTATGGGATCATTCTCCAGTATTGAGTTACCGACCAGCTCTGGTATTCCTGTGAAACAGGCAAACGAAGGTGTACTATAATGAAATTGCGCGAACGAAAGAGAGAGAAAATAGGCAGCAACAAGCGGTCGAGAAGCGAAGCGTAACTGGGTCACAGGTCCCAGGATTAGATGAAAAAAAAAAGAAAAAGAGAATTAACTCGTCAGCAGAATGATCGATATTAACTTCTTTCCCTATTTCAATTACCAATGGTAAGTCAATCCGTGAATGGAAACGATCAGTCGAGCAAGAGATTTAATCGGAAGAATGTGCTTCGAGTTCTTTCGCGATTTAATTTCATCACGAATCAGCGGTCCACATTTTTTTTTAGGTCAAATTGAATTTCATTCGCATTGTCTTATATGCAAATCGATGATCAAGAATTTTTTTCATACGTAAAATTAATCATTAATTAGTAATATTAACGGAAATAATTTTGTTTCGTTTTTGCTTGTCGACAATTTCTGCAACAAGTAGATTAGTTTTAATGAAAATCAAAAATATTAGTTTAATAACATTTATAACCCTACAGTGTTGATATTGACTTGGATAAATGTCAACGTAATCTAGATTTATTCTAAAATGGTAAGGTAAAGGGAGTCTCATCCGAGGAAATTGGAAAAAAGAATTAGAGCCATGAAAATACAGAACATGCGAGGAAAGATATCACATCATTTATAAAATATTAATAATGAAAATTGCCAGAAAATATTGATATTTTTTGGTGGTAATGCGTGGATAATAATATTCATTAAATTTTCATAAACTTTATGTTCATAAATAGGACGGATTAAGCAATTTTGCATACCATTTGAGCGAACGGCTGAAAAAAATATCTGAAAATCTCGCAGAAATCCGTCCAATTAACTGAACTGTCAATTTGGGTAACGAAGTGCTGTGAAATAGTACCGGGCGATTTTTAATACAACCAGATGACTTTTTAGCACCGTGGATTATCGCGAATGATGTCGAGCGAATTTTATCGACGAACGTAAAATATCTGTTCGTGAATTTTAATATCCCGAAGAGGAATTTTTATTGCCTGTTTTTCGTCGATAACGCTAAGCGACATCAGCTAATATGTACCAAAATGCCAATTGTTGCACACTGACAGTTTGCTTTTATTATTCCGTTTGTATTTCATCCGGAGAAACAAAATTAAACTCGAGTCAGATACGAATAACTTTTGGTTTTTGATATGTTCCTTGCTCTATATTTTTCCATAGATATCAAGAATCCGTCCGGAAGGTCGGCGACGCACGGCACTTATAATTAATAATTCTGTTCCCTCTTTTGAAACCAATTTAAAAACTAGCTGAATGCGCAGTTCACTGCTAAAATTTCCGTGTTTTCTTGAAATAATTTTTATTTTTACTGTTTTGCAAAGTAATTAATTATAAATCCCAAAGATCTATAAAGAAATTTCAGTTTAGTAAATCGTGTTTGAATTTGGGCAATCGTATCCGAGCTTATTGGATCCATTGAACGCGATCAATCACCTTAACTGCCTCACGATGAAACATAGAGCTATTAGACAATGATTTATAGCTTCACTTACCGAATATAGGATTTCCACGGCGTGTTGCGAGACCACCGAGCGTGAGTACGTGGGAATGATCTGCCGTCACGACGAGCAGCGTCTCCGACAAGTCGACTTCCTCTATCACAGCCCTTACCGCTTCCTCTAGGGCTAATGTTTCGTCCAGTGCTCGATACGCGTTATTATGATGATGTGCATGATCGATTCTGCCACCTGAATACATGCAAAAATAATGCGTTCATAAAACAGAATGATAAGATAATAATATTAGTTCTATGAATCTCCATAAAATCAAATTAACCCCTTCCACCTGATATTCAGAGGAAATTTAATATTTAATTATTTGAAAGATCGATCGTTTAATTTTTGAAGATTTTGCATATAAATGAATTTATGGGAAGTCTAAGTTTCTCCGTATCTGCTGGATACAGTCATCAAGAAACCAAGAAGCAAAGACCGCTTCAGAATTACAAATACGAAACACGTGAACGAGCGTCATTAGCATTACCATCGAACTCGCATTTAGGAAAGCACCGTGGCCATCACAGTTAACGTTAATTATTCGGAACGACCCACAAGAATCCCGAATTCAATTATCGAGACAGCAAATGTCGCTGGCTTGAATGGATTACTGGAAACTCGGACTTGAACGTTCGAAGTTACTTGCGGGCGATCAGGGTAGCTTGATCGATACACGAGTACATAGAGTATTTGAAGTTATTTGTTGTCCGAACATACACTTCATTAGTATCATCTTAATGAACTTAATATACCACGTTGGTTATTTAATATTTATCAAATTACCGCAGTCCTCAGTTAATGAGAGATTAAGTAAAAGACGATAAAAAATTTGATAATCTCGGGATTTAATGGGTGTTTATATTTTAAACGAACATTGTACGATCTATTATGTATGCAGTGTGAATGGTACGAACGATAGATGTGATATGTGTGCTATCCGATAGGGTGGTCTTTTGTTTGAAATGCGAGAATCGTTCGATTCAATAAATCGTATATTCCTGCCGAGTTGGATATTTCATTCGAAAAGGGTTTTGTAATAGAGTGCAAAGCAGACGTTTAGATTGTGGAAACATATAGTAGAAGTGGCATAATCCCGTAGAATTCTCTGAACAACTATCAACACCTGATTTGCAATTATAAATTTAATTCTTACGCGTTTAAGATTACATGAATTCGTTCACCTACACATCATTATTTTTATTTAGAAGATCAACTTCTACGAAGCACTGATACGTTTTTTTAAATATTTCGATAAGCTTCTCAAGAATAAACATAAACGTGATCTTTTGATTCCGTACACTATATTTTATGTCATTTTGAACGACCGTGTCCTCTCCGATTCGAGATTACAGGATTTTTCAAACAGATCGACTGAAAGATAAACACGTTCTATCAAAGAGACACTAACGTCATTCGTTGCAATCGATTGAAAAAAAAAAAAAAAAAACAGCGGAGGAAAATATTTGGTGAAATTGCGAATCATTTTTGTCCTCGACAGGGACTTCTATCGGAGAGTAGGGAATTTATATCACACCATATGCGGTGAGAGTTGGGGGATGATGAATTTGTGTAACATTGTGGTTCTAGTTGCTGTCAACCGAGGACAGTTTAGAACCGAATGCTTCTACTCTGGATAAATTCGATCCCATTTTCAGTAAAATCTGAAAAATTCTTTTAGAAATAATATCTGTATAGATTCGTTGAAATTTTTGTTCGAAGCAAATTAAGTCCAGCGCTCTATGCCGCGTTTATAAATTTAATTACTAAAAGAGATTACTTCAGGAATAAGAGAAGAATTCACGTTTCTCCATGCTAATTTAAGCAACAATTTTTCAATTACACACAAGGTGGCCAGATGTTCCGGTAGAAACGCAAATTAAAGGTGGGCGGAATTAAAGCCCGTTTGGCCAGCGACGCGCATGAAATCATTCTTTTTAATCATTCCTCTCTAATTCCCATGCTCGTCCTTTTTATCCGCCGGTTTATCTCTCGGTGCTTCTAAATATAATGACGGAAGTGGCCTCTCGACGTGGCAGTAGCGACGATAAGACGTTGCAAAACCATCCGAGGAAGAAGCATCCTGGAGCAACTTATTTTAAGCATCGCCACGAGAACTCTTGGACGAAACTTGCTCCAGATGGTTCAATTTTTTCAGAAATACTTATTTCTGTATCAAGTACAAAAAGGACAAATTTCCTGAAGAGGAAAGGTACAACTCTTCTTCTATTTCGACAAATTATTTGGATTTTTCTTTATTAAAAAATTCTCACTAATAAAATAATTAAAAACTAATGTGTTATCTGATGTATTAAAATGATTAGTAAAGGGAACGAAAATTACACGAAGTTCTTAGACAATTAAGAAACGATTGATCGTGAGAATGCACTTTCGGAAGATGCAACTTAATTCATGAAACATGATTAAAGTTCGGCAAGTGAAGCATCCCAAAAGCCAAACCGGTGGTTTCTGGAATCTTAGGAGACACCCGACAATAGGGTGAAAGGAAGATGGGTTCGAGGGTTTCGATCAGTTCTGAAAGCGGCATATTGTGCCAAAATCTGTCAACGGGGGAATGTATTTTCCAGATGCCAAAGCGGGAGCAACAGTTGTCGCGGCCCGGGAAACTTTGCTCGACGGATCTAGATTTCAACGTCGATTACAAACTACGGAGGAGAAGCGAAACTGAAACGAGCACAACTCTTCGGGGCAGAGTTCTGAAAGGAAGTATAGTCGATTAATCGATGTTGCGCTATTGTTTGATAATGGACCGACGCGTCGAAAGTGATTATCGGCAACGCGTTTCGTTATCTAGAAATAACCGAGTTTCTTCCTTGTTTCGGTATGCAATTTGAAGCGACGATAATGTGATTCGTTGTTGGTTATTGAACAAAGATGAATAATTGCAAAGATAATTAAATGGAGGGTAGATTTTGATACACCCAGCTTTATCCTTTATTCTGATAATTGATTTACGTAAAATTTGAATTTTTAATGAAAACTTGCATGAGAATATATAAAATTCGCGAAGGTTTAATATTCTTAGGCAAACGCGAAACGAATCACAAAGCGTACCGCGCACTAATTGAAGAACAACGTAACGAATTTCGAACACAGTTTGCAAAGTGAAATCGATTGGTTTCATGTAATGAAATTAATCAAAAGTTCGATGGCACAAAGGTCGATTGATTCACCAGAGACAAAAGCTACCGCGCGATTGCACACTCGGAATTCGATGAAAAGAACGAGTCGAAATACGAATAGATTTTCATTGTCAGTACTTTATTACATGAACTACGATTCTTTTTTCGTCAACGATGCGTGAGTACTTTGGAAATTCCGTGTTATTTGCTTGGATAAACTTTAATTTTCATTCGGATCGATAGAATGTTGCATAGAATGTTGCTTCTACTTTGTTTACACAGAAGAAAATTAATTTTTGAAAATTAATTGTCTGAAAAATTCACTGTTTTTCATTGCCTTACGAGATATCTGAACGAATGATTCATGATGTCGAAAGGATCACTGAATCAGCGTTTCTTTTTCCAAGGGAAGACAAAAAACTGTCTTGCTGCCAATCGATGAAACGCCTTTCCTGACAATGTAAGAACGTGAGATGTACACACCGGTTATCAGGGGGCGGAAAGCTATAAACTCGATAAAGTATAGAACGCTGACTCAATCTTTCCGTAGAAAACTCGCGTTTCCCTATTCACAGAAGGAACACTCTCGAGAGCATTAGCTCAATTTTATTCCAGCCGGGAGATTTGAATTACGTGCCTACGCGTTGCTTTCCTGATTACCTATGGATTTTCCGCGAGCGTATGTAAACGAAAAATAAGTAGAACATCTCAGGGTAAATTCAGCCCTCTTGAATTTCCCTGTGCAATGGATTTTTATTTGTTAGTTTTTTCTTCGTTAGAAAGATAATTATATGCGGCAAGAAAGTGGCTTTCAAGAAAACGAAATTTGCGATATTCCAGCAGACTTCAAGAGTAGTTCCATACTTTCCATCGAAATTCTCGTTTTATTTCCCGCCCCTAACGCGTCGATGGAACATTGAAATGGCGAATAATCGTAACTGTACGTCTGCCCGGCAACTTGGATATGCATTTTTGCAGGACCAGGTCCCTTTGTTCGTCCCCACGTACCTTCCACGAAGAGGAAATATCCTTCGGGATTTTTCGCCAGTACACGGAGCGCTTTTATCGTCATTTCGGCCAGTGAAGGATCGCCGCTTCCGTTCGTGTTTCGATCGACGTCAAAGTCCATGTGGGAATAGGAAAACAGCCCTGAAATCATCGAATCCCATGAAATGGTGAGTCATAGAATTTTTAACAGACTAAGTTTTATCGAGTCGTTTCTCCTTGCGATAGAATTTTATTTCTGCTACCGAGATTCTACATCGCACTGTATTTCGTGATAAAAGAGACGACTGATTTATAAGATTTTGAGAAAATATCTTTTAGAGCACTTTATTACTCAACGCTCCGATTCTTATTTTTCTTAATTTATCGTGTAGATAGAACGACAGTAACAATATTTCACATTTGAGGCAACATAGTAAATCAATTTTCAAACATGGCTGGTTACACAGAATAGTTTATCCGTTCATTATTGATTTACGATTGAAATACTAAATAAAGGATTATCGCGATGAAATACCAGCCAATAGCGTTCCTTATTATCGGGTCTCACAGGGAATCAACAGCTTTGCTCGCTATACCGAACGTAATCTCAAATTCAAACGTTACGCCTATCATAATTAGGGCGAACTAACTAACAGCCAACTGTATTCAAGCATTAATTCAATCGAGTACGATCGATAATTACCCAATATTGCGAAACTAGTAAATTATAATCGTTCAAATTATAAAATTTCTTTGAAATTCACGTTATCCGTTTAGCATAGAATTTGCGAGGTATGGAGTCGAATTAAAGGTAAAAAACGCGAATACATTTATGACAATTTCTTGGAACGAATTTGATGAACAACTTTGTACGCGAGAATTTAATATCGTCGTAGTTGGAATTTGAAGATCTACTAGAGAACGCGGAAAATGTTTAACGAAATTAAAATGCAGTGGAATTAAACTGGGCATTTTTATAATGAAATGAAACAGATTATAGTTGTACACAATCATGGTTCCTGAACATATTATAATATGAAAGAGAATTACAAATTCTTATCATTCAAAAATATCCAAACAAAAAAAAAAATTTATTTCCTATAGCTACATGAATTATTTCTTTTTTGAATGGCAATAAAATCACGGTGACAAATCGAAAAACGAAACTGAAGAGTTAGATTGATAGCTTAATCTTCGATCGCGTGTCATACCAGATATGATTATTTTTATCGCAATCGATCATTATAATAAAAAAACTGATATCTGTTCGTTACCAAGAAGATGATTCACTTTGCGTGGATCCACGTTCTCGAATTGTTCCTTGTTAGCGACATATTTCGCGGCCACATTTCGTAGCCCATGATTTCTCGACCATTCGTTGATCAGATTTCTTCCGTCCAATCGTCTACCCTCTTTATCCGGTTCCTCTGGATCCTGGGTCACCTTCGGCACGAAATGACGTCTGCCCCCACCGAGCACCACCTACGACGAAACGTGATTTTATTGGCGAGTATTTTATCGAGAAACGGATCAAACTGGATTCCGAGTAATAAACTCGAACATTTTATCGAGCATTGGGAGCGAGCTTGGCTTTGAGACAGATCGGTTCATGGAAATTAACCTTCGAATCTTCTGAGAGCAATCGGGCCGATTTAATATGTCCAATTGATGGATCGTTTTCATTTACCGGTGATTTCTATTGATTATGCAAATTCGTGGCTTCGATTGATTTGTGCTTTTAACTGTAAAATATGGATGAAAGAGAAAGAGATTTTAAGCAATGGTTTATAATGTATTGTTTCATTGAAGAAAATTTTATAAACTATTTGTTAGGTATGAAAATTAGTTATTGGAAGATTTCATATTTTAATAATGTAAGCTGCTTGGTTCTGAAAATGATAAAAATTCATCGCATCATAGTTTTCATATTTTCAGTAATTTAATAATGATTAAAAACAAATTGTTGGGTTATTCTTGTACAGCAAAGATATTCTTTAATCGCTTGCACAGTAAATGTTCTAATTCAGATTGTACGTAAAAATTCCTAAAAATAATTAAACTTTATTCAGGTTGACACATAGTTATTTCATTCAGCTTTTTAAAATGTTGACGAAAATGAAACTCCGTTATTTTGACATTTAATTTCCGGAAAGTTCTGTAATTAATTCCTTTACATTTAAATTTACCAAGCTAGACATTTTTAATTTTATGTATGCTAAAAGCATGTTCAGCTTTTAATTACCTCTTTATAACACGATAATAAATAAATCAATACCTTTTTCTATTTAATAAAATTTAGTCATGAATATTATTCATTATTACGGTAAATACAAATCTTGATACTTTGACAATAGTTAATATTTTTTGTAACGAAAGTAGCATTGAAACATTGGATTCAACTTGATCCAAAGTTGCCGGACGCTTTTCATTTTCGGATCTGATATTTTCATATGTTCTTCTGACGTATGTACATGTTTGCGTTCCATCAGAGAACGCGATCCCAGAAGCAATTTTGCAGAATTTCAGTCAACCGAAGAGAAATGTTCTTTTCGTTGCATGTGAGAGTTTCCATTTCGGTGATTGCAGCTTTTGTTTTTTTCGATGCCTGAAATAGAAGTTGCATGGAAACAGGATCGCGAGTATATAACCTACATTACATGCTTTTGTATTTTTACGTGGCCAAGACAAAATACGTGTGAAATACTTAAGTAGCACTTTGTAAAGTGTCGTGGTGAATGAAACATAATCATTTATTCATAATTCATCGGTGGAGTTATAACTTTGCTATGTTCGTTACAACAGTTCTGAAGTCATTAATTTTTACATCTTTACCAAAGTCTTCTTCTTTGCAAGGATATTTTTAAACGATAATTACACCGTGTACCTTTAAAATATCTCTTAAGCAAGCAATTAAAAAACATGTATGCTGATAAAGTTACGAAGCACGAAGTTGGAAACTTCTCGAATGCTGATGTAAAAAAATATGAAGTTTTCGTTGGTAACTTCGTTACCATTTTATTTATTTACACATTAAAAATATTGAAGGGAAGGTTCGCTGAGATTTGTTTTTATAAATCAAATAAATAAGGAAATAGCGACGTGTCTGCAGATTCTGTGCAATCGAATTTCACGAAATAAATCTGATACGGTTCACTCTGTCCCGCCAATATATCAGAAATCTTCAGTTTATCCAAAAAATACAGAAAAATTCGTCCCTCTGGACCTTTAATTCTTCTTCTATCTGAGAGCAAACTCTCTAGAGAATTTCTACTAAGCAGACTTTAACGAGCAAGAAGTTTTGCATAGAAGTTTCGCACAAAAGCAATGTCAGTTCCCTCGAACGAGATTTTTTTTCCCTCGAGTTATAGCGATAGAGAAACGTCATCTAAGATCCCCAAGGACCGATTGACCCGCCGAAAAATCGAATTTTCATTGATTGAACCGGCGCGATTGGTTCACAGGGATACCGCGAGAAGACTCGTTTCGACTTTGCATTATTGTCACAAAGTCCCTTCGACGCAATCGAGGGATTCCATTACACAGAGAGAAGCTTATCTTAGTTCGTCTTCGGTTTAACGAGAAACCGGAAGTTTCGAAGTGGTCGGCACAAGGGTCACCATTGGAAGTCTGAAAAGGGATGCGGGATTCAAAGCAATCGAAGAACGAGAATCATTGATCTGGATAAAGTTTCCGGCTGGAAAAATGTACCGTATTTAAACATTAATAGAAAATGTAAAAAATGATACATCTGAAATTTGTTTATTTCAGAAAATCAGTTTTCTATTTGACCTTTTTTCGTTCGTATTACATCAATAAATTGCCGAGTGGAAAGAGCACGTCAGTTCATTTCCGATTTGAAAATTCTATCTCTGTTTTACAAACTGTGCGCTTTAATTTGAGAGTTTTCGAGCTTCACCTCGAATATGTATTTTGAAATGTCGATGCCAGTAATTCACAGCTCATCGAACGAATACATAGAATTGTTAGCCGACGTATTTTTAGTCGAAGCAATTCGATTCGATGTAATACGAGATATTAAACAACATTCGTATTTTATCAACCTCCTTTCGTGAATTCAATATACCTAAATAAACGTACAGCTGCAATATAATTAAAAAACCTGGTACCGTTTGAAAAATATTTATTAACGGAACGGGTCAGAAGCATGTATCAGTCCATGTAAAACAAGCAATTTCACGAGAGGAAGAATCACGATCCCCCATGAAAATCATTCTATCAAAGTATACAACGCTCAAGGAAGCGGACATTCGATCGAAGCGAAATCAAACTTTTTCATCCCCGAGGATCATCGAATCGCGTCGAATCACGATGGCGGAGCAGAAAGTCGAAAGAGACACCCCAATCATTCAGAGAACTGAAGAGTCGAGCAGAAATGGACGTAAAGGGGGCAGAGAATCTGCGACACGGTCAGTTAAGCTGAAATATAATCCCGTACGTTGATGTTACGACCGGGTTCGTCTTCGAGCAGCTGACGTGCGATATCCTTGCAAGAAGTCCGTGCAGCAGGTGGCACTTTACCATCGTCCTCCCAGTAACGGCTGGCTGCGTGGGCGTAAAGAGCCGCCGGTGTCGCGTGTGTCACCCTGGTGGTCGTGACTAGGCCCGTCGATTTACCTGCGAACAGAAAAGTCGGATTATCGACACCGCGGTAAATCTGCTGGCTACCAGTTTCCAGCGCACGTGTTTCGTAAATCACCCGACTTCATCCAACTGCACCCTATGCATTTGCACCCTATACATCTGCCGCGGACAGTCTCATCGCTGGCTAATCGATTAAGTTTCCAATAGAATTGATATTGGTGAAAATGAATCTTTTAATTAACGCGTTGGTTGATACAATGAAAATGGAATAGTTAATTTTCAAATTTCGACTCCAGTGCCACTCAAGGAGTTAATTATGAAACTCGAGAAATATTCTTCATATTTCACCATGAACATCGATGTAAAATATGAAATGAACTCGCAGGGCAATTTAACCCATACCAAGAAAGCATTAAACGTCAAAAAGTCCCCGGAGAATTCGTGGAGAAGAAAATTCCTCTCCGATTTGGAATTTCAGGGAACAAGCTTTCTCTGACGTCTCCAATTAAACGCGTTTTCTATTCGGAGGAAGATAAATGAAGGGAAGCATGTGAGAGTGAGAACGAATCGAAAATGTCGTACGGACAACTTTTTCATCGTCGACGAACCGTAGAAATGCGGTTGCAAATGAATTCTGGCGACGTCGTTGGAATAGCTATCCAAGCCGCGAACCGCTTGATGTCGTATTTTAATTAAGCGAATGTTCGCGTGATCCTTCTTAGCGAACGTTCGACGGAAAGTCTCTGTGCCATTGCTGATGAGTTTACGGATTAAGTTGGCACGCGGAGATCTATGCTCTATGTTCCCGTAGGATTAGTAATTACGTTAAGTGGGCCGACGTTAGGTCGGCAACGGATGCTAATCGACCCGAGTGCGTCGATACACGGACCCTTCATCAAAGTCTCTCTTGACCCTTTGATCTCGGTATCTGGGTCTTCAATTATGATTTACCATAACGAAGGGACACCGCGACGACCTACGACTTCCTCTACCGGGTACTGCTTCGATTAACAACTATTTAAGCAGCGTAAGTTTCAGATTCAGAAGATGGCGAAACGCATTTCGTCAGGGAATTGAATTTCGAATAAGCTTCCTAGCTGTAATGGTTGTTACATTAGTCGGTAGCTTTAAACGCTCTGCATCGTTGGAGAAGTTAATTAAGTATTTGTACAGGATGCGAGATGTTGGATCATAGTGTGTCGTTGAGATTAAGCAAAACGTTGAATACGCAATTTCAGATTGTTGTACAGGGCGTTGCAAAAATAATGCACAAGTGGAGAATTTCAAATATAAATTTTCTCAGAATTTCAAACTTTTTCACGAATTTTAAATTAATTTATTTTTGGAGGTATCCAATTTCACGTTAAGCGAAAAGAATTTCTTTTTCCACAAAGTTTAGGTGTTTTTTGTTTCGCGGAAAAGATATTAACGTCGGAGATTGCTTCGTACCGGTGACTGTCAGCAATTTAATTTGTCCAAGTCGTAGGAAGCTTACACTTTTCATCTTTTTGCGATTTGAACGTTACGTTTCCATTTCTTTCGATTAAGCAATTTCCAGTTCCGTTTTTCGTTCAATTACTGCAAAACCTACCTGCAACAAGCTGCTGGAAAATAAGAAAAGTTGGATAAAGAGTCCTGAGACTGTCCCCGTAAACTAAACCTACATCGTTTTTACAATTAACGTTGTCACGGTAATTATATAACGATGTTTCATTCCAGAGAGATATTCATTTTTATCTCCTTTCCTGAATAAAATCGCTTGTAATTTTAGAATTTAGAAACGGTTACAAAATTAGAGCGATCGATGTTTGATGACAGCAAAAATTTCATGGCTCAGATACACTTTCGGATTCGAGATAATACATATGTGTATTTCGAAGTCTCCCAAGGCGGCCACTGAAGAATAGAAGTGAGAAATACGAAAGAAGCTTTTTTCCAACAGACTTCGACTTTCGAAAATGAGCTTCCTTTCCCTGTTTCATTTTAGATACAACCTCGACTCGATGTACCACTTTCTGCATTCTTCACTCCATGTCAGATTTTTCGTGGAAAATATTTGTGTCTGATTTGAGAAACATTTTCTTTTATGAAATCGTGTATCGTAAAATACATTAACAAATTTATTTTAAAAAGAAAAATGGGTATTTAACAAATTATGTTAAGGATTCAATCGTGATTACTGAAGTGATTAAGGGTTTACTGGAATAATTGAACAGTCAGATTTACCATAATAGGCTTAGAGGATAGTAGATAATATGCCAATGAAGATGCACTTTGATCTATGTCGATATCTCAATTAGTTCCCAAGATACAGGCCTTTAAAGCTTAGCCTCAGCGCGCCCGAAATGTTGAATGACCGCGTGACCTACATTTTTACCCGGAAATGCGTACGCATCATAGTAATAGTAAAAAAAATGCTGACTCAGCGTATGTCATTGACCAGCGCGTTGGAGGGAAGCTTGTGATAGGTCAGTTCATTGAGCGAGTGAAAGGTTGGATCAGGAAGAACGAGAAGAACATAATAAGGGTGGAAAAATTATACTTTGCTTTAAACGACGATATCTCGGCATCCAAAAATCATATCAACCTAAAATCAAAACTGACTTAAAGTTAAGAGAATCCTCTTTCTTATGAACTCACATTTGTTGAGAAATTTTTATTAATTTCGGAATAATACACTTGTAAAGTTTAATAGGTACTTTTCGTTACTTATATTTCTTATAAAAAGTTTTGTGATTATTTTGTGATCAGTCTAGCAATTTAAAACATTTTATTTCAATTAAACACCTAATTAAACCGGATTTACAACCTGTTTCCAGAAACGAGAACAGTTAACCCAGTTACACGTGGCTTTCAAAAGGAAAGGAAGTATAATTCCAATTATACAAACGATTGAAAACTGTCGGTTTAGATGTATAAAACAAACTTTTAATAATTTGAAAAAAATTGGAATTCGCGTGTAGTGAATATTTTGTTAATTAACCTACATTTAAACACGGTTGTGGGGTGTTGGAAAAACCGGGGAACTTTCATCGAGAAGTTTTATCCATGTCCAACAGCGGCCAAGTCTCGACAAATAATTAGTACGAGATTAATTGAATCAATTATGCATTCATTAAATTGAATATCGGTTCTGCGCGGATTTTCGTTCATCAGACGGACAGATAACGAGTGAATTTTCAAGCAGAAGTTTGCCGAACGTTCCTATGGCTTTAACCGTCCCTACGTATAGACGATCTAAAATTTGCAAATTCATCCGTCGAGTTTCCGGTGACAGCGGGGAGAACAGTCGTCGAATGAACTTTATCCAATGACAACTAACTCCTACGGTTTCGTCTGATCAATAATTCATTCGCATCATCGCAGTCACGTCGACGATCGTACGAATTTACGAAAGGGAGGGGAGAGAACGATTTGAATTCCGCGGAAATCGCTGAAAATTTCGCGAACGACGATTCAATCTAACCGACAAACTTAAGCACTCGCGTAAAGCTTCGACGTATCTTTTCTAATTTTTCAACCGACCGTGATTCGTCTCAGATTTCATAAGACACCACGTTTCGTCTTACTTTTCTTCTCCTTTTCTCTATCGAAGCTTTTCATCTCTCAACGAATATCTAGCAACGTAATCTTACGCGAAAAGGGTGTACTCCATCTGCGAAATTGTTCTTTATACGAAGTCGCAGGAAGGAAAAGCTTTCGAAGGGAGTACGTGAGGCGGCAAAAACATCGGCGTAAGTAGCCTTAATGGAAAACCTAGATACATCATGCGGTTCTAAATGAGATTATAGTACGAATCGCAGACTGAAATCCAACACTTCTGCTTTATTGCTGCGATATTTTCGAGTTGGGACGAAAATACGAGGTCTATTAACAAAGTAACCGCGAGTTAATGGCATAGAAATTTTTACTGTCAACTTATCCACAAATCGATTATACTCCCTTCGAAATGAACAATTACATAATTTACTTATTCTAATAGTTTCTGGCGGGGAGTCAGTTTACATTTTGAATGAGCCAGGTCCACCCTGTCCCTTCTTCAGTCACGATAGTTGTAAAGAGAGATAGAAAGCAAGATCGTAGTAGCTCGCGAAGCGGAACACGTCAGCGGCAAACGGCGTGCGATTAATCAAGCAGGCAATTCATCTTAATGATCGGGTTAAGGCAGCTTGCGCTTTCATGCTCGTAACGTAGGCGCAGACATACGTACACGGCTATATGCGACGTGTTTATTACTGGTCTCTCGATGTACATGACTATGCAATGTTGTTACATAGCGTGTACATTGCCCCAGGTACTTTCACGGTGGCTGATTTAGCCGCGAAGAAGCTACTTCGAGCAGCTCGTTTTCGAGTTCACTTTATGAAGAATGTTACCCGAGTGATGCACCCTGATTTTCCTGTTTTCCGAACATAATACTGCTCTTGAAAAAATAACTAAATTAAATTTGAATCAATTAGGTTTACGTAATAATACTGCTTTGAAAAATTGAAAAATAACAAGTATCTTATTAAACGAGTAATTCCAAGAAGTGTAAAAGTATATGTAACATTATAAGGTGGAAGCAATTTTCTTCAACATTATCGGAGAAAATATGTATCCTCTTGGAACTTCACGGTGAAGAAAGGCAATTTGCATCGTATGCGCGACTTCATTTTCGAGCATCGTTAGAACAGGGCGATGATAGCAGCGAAAGACTATTTTAATTTTGAAAATGAAAACATACGGATGTCTGCTTTTTCAAATAGCTCTGGTTAAGCGCGTATTTCGAGCACGAAGTTCATTACTGTAATTGTAAATTTTTACGTAATAATTAACTTTTGCTCCCTGGAGACTCTTAATCGCGCGATTATAATTTTTTCCCAGAATCCAATGAACGCGTATCGCGTATACGAGTACTGTTGATTATTCGGATAATCATCGGAATTAGCTCGGGAAACGGCAAAACGTTTCGTGATTTCGCATAGAATCGCCAATCATCTCGATTCATGTTGCCATTACCCTCTTGCGTTACGCGCTCTGTTACCAACCATAATTCGCTTCACAGACATCTGCTACGTTGGAGTAACATTGCACGTTGATAGCGTCTGTTCAACTTTACGACGCTTGTTTTATTGATGGCGTAATCAAAGAAGGGATATGACGTATTCCCCGTTCATTCAAGCATACAGGTCAATTATGCGAACAAGGTGCATCACCTTTTGTTTTCTAATCACGTTTCACTACCGTGTTTTGAAGTAGATACTTCAGATTATGACTGCTCGTGGCTGCGTTTACCTTAATAATAATAAATAATGATTGCAAGCTGTTGTATGCCAAATGGTTAATTTCGAAACGTCGAAAGTTCATGATATAAAAGTGTCATCAAATATCACTTGTGACGTATCAGTTTGAAGCATAAAGTTTGACGAAAATAATTATATAAACTGCAGCCATTATACACAAAGATTATTGATGAAAATTTTATATTGACATACGTGTACACGTCGAAACGATTGAAGGGGTTAAATTCCTATTTATTGGAGTGAAATTGATTGGAGATAATCTTTTTGCATTAACCATTGACATTCGCAAACATCCCGATTTTACTTACCCTGCTCCTGTGCCCAATTGATAAGGGACGGTACATGGGCATCGAAAGTGGAATTACAGATCTCGAAACGCGCAGACGAATCCAAGCCAACGGTCTCGTAATTGGCTTTCACTCCGCAGAGTAACGCCGTGGCACACGCCGAAGACTCTCCAACTTGGGCGTCCATGTTGTAAGTCTGTAAATGGACAAAAGAAAAGGAACAAGTTTAATTAATTTGTCCCAGCAGCAATTCTGATAACGCCGATTTATCTTGGTACTAAAAAGAATGCAAGGTATCAACACGATCTAATGAAAAGAGCAATGAGTCATTCGTCTAATAGATAAAACGAACGACGTTCTTATCAATGAGGAGCAGATCATTTCGCAACGATCGCGTCATCTTTCGCTCGAGGGGGTTTTCATAAATAATTTCGAACGTTGTCGCGGGCGCATTGTGTATTATGATAATCGGTCTTACTTTGGTCGTCGTGTCCGGGGAATGGGATATTGCGGTAGAAAGGGATGGAACGGAGAGACCGGAAGCTCGGTGTACATAAATCTTGCCGGCATTATCCGTTGGAGGCTGACCTGCGTAAAATACTGCTGACTTCCGACGGTCTTTTTATTATTCAAAAACCGTGCGGACCACTCGAGCACCGAGTGATCCGAATAATAACGCGACGTCATTTCAATCCAGTTGTTGGGGAATGCTAGCGATTCCAGCGCTGATAATGTAGCAAGAAACTGCACCGACTGTACTTTCCTTTATTATCATACACTGACCACCGTATCCGCTTATCACAGTCGATTAAACCCTAGGAAGGTGTTTTGCAACAAATCGTTTGTCCTCTGACTGAATTGTCACGGTGAAACGTAAAGACAGATTCGCAAGAAAATTAAATTGTTAGAGAAAATAGAATACAAAGGATAAGAAAAGAGACAATGGTTTTGATAAATCGTTTCATTTTGCTTAGGCAATGATTTATTTATATGCTCAGTGATTCACATGTTTACTTGTAAGCTTGATGATATTTTTTCTTTTGTATTTGATCACTTGAATATTTTATTAACTATACTTTTGGAATATAATACAATTATTTTACGCAAATTAATAGGAGTCTCATATGAACAAACGCGTGAGTCACTTCATTTATCATCGTATCCCATCGTAGATACCTGATAAAAGAATCGATGATCTGTAATATTTATTATTATAAGCAAACTAATGATTCACTCGAAAGTGAAGTACCAAATTGGAAATCGAGAAGGTCACACGTGAGAAAGGTGTTAAGCTTGAAATTATTCATCCTAGAAAAGATACATATTGAATATCGACGATTGTTGATTCATAATTTTGCTTTGTTTCAAACATCCCCACCTTCCACAAGTAGACAGATTGCGAATGCATTTGAGATTAACAAAGCCCTGAATAGTAACATCGATGCCTATACCCTCAATTGGATTGTGATAAGATAAGCGTCGCATAAAACCGTTCCGTTATCTCGGTTCTTCGTGCAGAGACATATTTGCAGTTATCGTGTACAATTGGGCGCGAGTGAAGATGAGGAAAGCGTCAGTTTCTGGGCCTGAAAAGCCAGGCACAAGCAACGAAAAGCAGACTGGCAAAGAGGAAAATCAATCTGCAGCGGGTACGAGTAAGAGTAAACCTGAGAGTAAGCCTGCGGCGAGCAAAACTGAGAATAAACCTGCAGCGAACAAAACTGGGAATAAGGCTGCGGTGAACAGAACTGCGAATAAGCCTGCAGTGAGTAAAACCGCGAATAAAGTTGTACCGAATAAAACTGAACCCGCGAGGAAACTAACGGTGAGACAAGCTGAACAAAATGGAAAGCAGACAGTGACAAAGAAAGCGCAGCCTGGATCAAGTGAAAGAAACATCGCGACGAAGACTCAGTCTACGGTTAAGAAGAACTTATCGTTTCAGCAGACGAAGGACATAGAAACTGGGAAACGGTCCTTGCGGACGGAGACGGGAAGAGAAGTACACCTTACTAAAGGGATATTCGAAAGGGATATCGAGGAAAAGATAGAACACATCGTTGACGCGTGGTCATTTAACAAACGAAAGTGAGTGAGAACTGTATTGCCTTGAAATAAGCAACTCGCTCGGGATCGATTAATTGCTTATTACGGAGCAGGTATGCTATTTGACTTGACTTTGTTCCCCGACAGAAAATTATTTTTTTTCTCATTCTGGCATTAAGCGACTCATTAAAGAAGAGGGAATAGCGAGTTGCTTATTTCGAGGCAGAAACCACTTGCTTATTTCGGGGCAATACTGTAGATATTATTTTGTCGTTTCGTTCCAAAATCAATTGATCGATCAACATTTTTCCTCGGCGCGATAACATTGAACGAGCAGAGAATTAAGATACGCAATTTTTAATTTCTTTTGTTCAGATATCGAGTTTTAGATAAACCTGATTTCGCAGCGAGACATCGACGATACGATAAACGGGTGAACGTGATATTTTTTGTGATCTAGTGCGTGCTATATTGCGAGAATTACAGAATGGCGAGAATTACAGTTGAATTAACGTCGCGCTACTACCGTCGCGTTTTTGGTATTACATATCAACTGGAATATTTCTATTTATACCGGGTGTTTCTGAAGGACGATACACTGTTAAATTTTATCAGAAGAAGTCGGAAGGTATTAATGAACTCTTTGGTGCAAATTGATAACAATAATCAGTGTAAGATACTAATGACGACGTACAGACAAGTTCGCTGTCAATATTATTTGATAATTTAAAATATTTATAATGTTTTAGCTCTAAAACGGTAGAAGGTAGAAAAAAAATTTCATTAGAACTTCGGTATTTTAATTTCTAATTTTATTGTTTTAATTGGATTAATCTATCGTTATAATCATTTTTCAAGGATTTATATTTGTGACGTAACGACGAAGCGGAGCTAGACGATTACAAAATGTTTTCGAGTTCAAAGGAAACGCGGTGGACCGGTATAATTCCGGTAATTCATTTCTCTTCCAATGAACATTTGTCCGGTAATGGGCGGCAGGTTCGTGCATTTATGACTAGTTTGTAAGCACTCCTTTGTCAACCGACTCGTTACTCGTGTTCGTGTGTAGGAATTTCTACAATTCTCTCGCTGCAAGCGTGTCTGCATTCAAGTCTTTCAACGCGGGGAGTAGAATATCTTCAGTCGTTTAAAAAGCTCCGATCCACTGTCTCGTCGCGTTTTGTGTTTCCCTACTGTTCGTTCTTTGCGGTTTCCTCTTTACGGTTCGTCTCTCTGTGGTAGGTGTTTCATTTCTGTTACCCGGCGTAGCCGTGTAATTATTAAGTTGTTGCAAACGAAATTCGTGAATTTAATCAGAATTATTTTTGGTATTTATGACGTTGATACAAAAATAAATTTATTTTTCTTCTTAGAATTATAAATTATACAAAATTATGTATTTTAGTTGAATACTCCCGATCAACGATAAAAACATCAAGTTCCATCTATACTACGGTTGTCTGAATTTCCTATGCGCATTTACTTGGCTAACTATGCATCCTAGAACTCTATCTCCGCGTACAGTTCGGCGTTAAGAAGATTCGTGCACGTACACACGCGACCAACAACGCGTATCTCGCGATAGTACACAGCAACTCTGAGAATCCTAACTTCCAAACACAACAACCACACTTCACTCTTAGAGAACTCTCGGTGTTGTAACAGGAACGTGTATCATCGTTAAGTGCAACGGTAGTTGCCTGCCTGCACAAGAACATTTCATTGAGTACGAAACACCTGATCGCGAAACATTTCACAGAGTTGTACGAGCTGTTGCGGTTAATTTTTCATTTGCGAAAATTAATCTGATATTAAATGAACGGTGATTTTTCCTTTCCCAAAAATTCACTTCTCAAGTATCTTCTTCTGAACGAAACGCGATCACGGGTTAACTATCCAGGTTCACCGAGTATCATGGATAGTTTACTTGTTTTTCATCGCGTGAAAACGGCGGTAATCGGGCTCAGCCCTGTTTCTCGGTCAGATCGTCGTACGTACGCGTTTACACCGACGCTACGGGGCCAACGTGCTTCTTAAGGCGATAAAACGAGCGAGCCGTTACGAGAAGTTCTTCAGACCCGGATTGCGATCTAACTTAAAATTAAATTGACCGTCGGATGATTCGGTGGACGGTGTTCACGTACACCTTGAGAATCCGTACACCGTCTACATTGGCCGAACGCTTTTTCCTTAGTGGCAAACACGTACGTGAGTGGAAAGTACGAAACAGCTTAATGCACTTTGAAGAGCATCGGCGAAACCTTCTCACCGGATTATAGCTTGTCACTCTCTTTTAAGAAGAGAAACGTGCACGGTTCAAACTTGAATCCACCACAAAACCGTAAAATTAACAGCTTAAACGGGCTCTCGTTTAACCTATTATAAGTAAAAGGTACTTGAAAAAGATTTCGAGACAGAGATTGAAGACTTGAGAATGTTCTTTAGAGCAGTTATGAATTGAAAAGAAATCTTGAAGAGCGTTCAATCGGACGTTTATGGATTCTGTATATGAAAAATTAGTTTTTAATGTTCTTCGTTATTAGACAATTTTGTAGATTGAAAATATGTTCTGTGGTTACAGAATTAGTTTCAATTTTATTTTTAAAGCGGAAGAATAGTAATGTGCTTTATAAAAGCCCCATGGGAATAATTAGAATTAATCGCCGCGTCGGTCGTACAAGCGTGGAAAACTTTTCCGTCGAAGCATGTTCGGCCACGATGTCTTTCATTTTCGTCTCGTAGACGTTATTTGTCGAGCATCCGCAGCGTGTGGTGTTGTTCCAGCCAGTGTGCGCCACTTTTGCGATTCAAAATTTTACGAGCGACATAAAAGCCGTCAGCGCGCCGCATCGACACCGAACAACGCGGCTACACGCTTCGTTTTTTCCTCCCGTTTCGCATCGATCGACCACGTCCGGGAAACAACGAAATTTGGCGACAGACAAAAATATACGCGAACAAGTTATTGCCAAGCCACGCTTGCATCGTAATCGTAAAACAACAAAAAAAAAAGTGTTCTCGACGAGCCGTGTAATTTGCCATGTAGCATGTTCAATATTAGGCGAAGCGAACCCAGTTGAAAGAACAAACTATACCGCCTGTATGAATCTCTGGTATAAACAATATTCGGTGATACCGTGGCATTTCGAC